CTAAAGAAAAAAGAAAAAATAGAAAGTACAGAAAAGAGAGAAAGAAAAAAAGGAAGATATATAAAGAAATGACTTCCCCCTTCCTAACAACAAATATAAACAATTTTAGTAATTTATCACCTCTTATAATACATCAGATGATCTCTTCTTCCCATATCTCATCTCTTATCTATAAACAAATCTTTAAAAACCTCATCATTCAGTCCTGGTCAGCAAAAGTCCATTAAGGGTTACCAAAGATAACAACATATCTATTTTAGCCTTGATCAAATAAGCCAACTTTATATTCGTTCCTTTTACTTTTAACAATCTTGATCTTTTCATATTCCTTTCCTTTACTTTTAACAATCTTAATCCTTAATCCCCTCAAATAAAGTCCTGGAACTTGATTTTTTTCTTATTTTTTCTTTGTCCTTTCTCACAAAATTCTTCACAACTTTAAAAGGTCTCTTGTAAATCCAGTATAAGAAAGTTATCCAAGTCACTCCTTTGGTTTGGTAAAACATCAAGCCATTTCATCTGTATATCCAGTGTAGCATCTCCTTCTACATCATTTTCACAGCCTGTCATTTTTAGATCTATTTTCAAATCAGATTCAGTCTTATCTGGTAATGCTTGTTCCTTTTCCATATCATCTTCCAAACACAGTCTATCTATAATGTCAGACATTTTAAAAAGTAACTTCTGGGTCCATTGTTTACAAATATCCTTCAATACATCCAATGTTAAAGTATATTTTGCTCCATCTGTATTAGTAAGTAAGTTTAAATACTCTTCTCCTTTAATTGTAATCTTGAGTTCCTTCTGGTTCCCTCTAGTCCAACCTTCAAAATCCCATCTTATCATATTTTTTGTAAGTATTCAAAACATCAGCATTTTCCCACAGGAAAGATTCTTATAATTAGACTCAAAATCTTATTTCAAATCCATCTGGACCCTTAATCTGTTTATAACTTTCCAAAATCAACACTCTCATCATGCTTTTGCTGTTTATTCCAAAAACAGAGAGAATTTTTTAAGTCCTTAAACTTGTATAAAACTTTTTTCGCTAAGGATTGAAGGAAACTCACCCAATGTCCTAAAATTTGCTGTTATGAAGATTCCTAATATCCAAAAAGCAGTTAAGCAATTTCCAAAGGTGATTAAGAAAGGAAGCATGCAAACTCTCTGTCCTTTTTAAAGGCGCTGAGCCACGGTTTGGGCTACGATGGCCTTCCCTCGTCTCCCAGCACTCTAAACTGCCAGAGACTGCTATTATGCAGTCTCCTTGTGAGGAGCAGCTGTCTGGAGCATTTGTGGGCAATCCCAGCCCTTTCCTTGTCCAGAGAGGAATTACAAAGAGTCAGCTTTTCACTCCGGCTCTTCATTCTGCTGCGGTTGTCAGTTCACCATTTCTTCCCCGGAGGTCCGTGACGTTGCACTTTACGATTGCATCACTTAGCAGCAGAAATTCTGGTCCCAATTACCGTTGTTAAGCAAGGACTACCTGTACAATGAAAACATCCAGTCATAGAAACAGGAATGAAACTAGGCTCATAAGGGTGTTCTTGTACCAAATCTTGTGAAAAAGGTCTTTGCCAGGCACCAAAAAGACATTGATATAGGTGCCAGGTGATGCTTCTTGAAAAAAAAGCATTATAAGCACTGGCATGCCATAACTTAAGGGCATTTTACTGGGCAATGCCTTACTCACTTGAGATGGTGGGAGTGCCCCAAGGAAGACCATCTCACAACAATCATCACAGTGCATAAATAAGTGGGAGGGGAGGGAAGGTCTAGGGAGGGCATCAAATAGCATTCTCATATAATAATGTCTCCCATGGCAACCATTTTGTGAATGGGCAAGCCCTCCCAACAGCCATTTTGGGAGAGCACCCATGTCAGGCACTGAATATTTCAAACGCTCCAACCCATCCCAGACCTGGAGTGATAAACTGATAGATAGACTGCATATCTTCCTTTAACTTCCAGCTCTCTCATTTTCTTTTCAGCTCTCTTCTTGGACAGCCCCAAAGATTATGACTGGTTCTTCTATGAAACAGATGGTTATGTCTACCCAACGCCTTCACAAACCCAACTTAAACCAATCCAGGTCCTCTCAATCCCAGCTCTCAAGCAACCCTCTCCTGTGGTTGAAATGTCACCCGAGAAACTTGCCAGTCCTGAGACAAGACCAGACGCCAAGGAGCTACAACGAAGTACAGTGAAGCTGGAATGCCTGTCCCCATCCAACCTAAACCTTGGAAATCTCATCTGAGGTCCAGGTCCTCTCTAGCAGCTCCCCCTTTCTCCAGTTCAACTCCTTTCTCTTATTTTATTTTGTTCAATGTATATCTCAATCTGGAATAATTAGGCTAAGTGTGGTTGGAAGGAAGAATGGCTCCCAACAATGATGAAAACAGTCCACCTTCCTAAATTAGGCTGTTAGATGGTAGATCTGGTGGTTGATATATAGCTTGCTTGTATATACAAAACATTCCAGTATATGTAACCATGAGATGCAATAAACAATTGGTTCTGCTTTGCTGAAATCCAATGTGTGAATCTCAGGTTTTCATCTCTGCATTGCTAGGGTCTCCTGACTAGAAAAGTTACCCTTAAACCCATTTCCAAATATATCTATTTCTGAAAGCAGAGCATGGCCGCCAGAAATGGACTACTTAGTAGTGCTATTTCATCACAAGCACCTCCTCCCCTTCTTTAGACTTTATTGTTGCATATAGTAGTTTAGATCTCAGGAGTAAAAAAAATTCTGGTTGATTTAAAATTAAACATTGTTACAGTTTTTTAAATGGTTAACTTTAAATGTTGCCAGCTATTGCAATCTTATATTTGATTTGTGTGTGTGTGTGTTTGCATGCCTGCATGAGAGAGATGATGAAATATCGGATGTTTTTATTAGTTACGGAAGAAAAATATAGCTCAGATCAGAGTTCTACTCTTTTGCAATCACTGTGTGATGTTCTTTCATTTGCCAGGGGTAGAATGTGGGCTTTAATCTTGTATCTTATAGATGGAAGAATATACAGTATATGTTTTTAATGTAGTTTGTACAATGTCTTGAGCAGCATGGACTAAAAAGTGATTGACAAATATTATAGTAAATTTATAGATCCACGCATATCAAGAAGCTGTGCTTTTCTTGCTGTCGCCTTTAAAACATAGACATTAGCTCCAGGGATTTTGGGAAAGGAACTCATTCTTAAAGGTACTCTAGTTGCTATGGAAATGGGAAATTAATAGGGAAATGCAAATGGGGAAATCTGTGGAAAAGGGGGAAATCTCTCCAACTTACTTGTGTTGTCAGCTTTTCAATTGTTTTAATTGCCAGTTGGTTGATCTTTTCTAAGCAGCCCCATCCCTTGGAAGGAAGATGGTAGAATTTACAGATGCATGTGGGGTTCTGACCTTATTTTGCTGGTAAGCCAAGCAAAACTAGTAGTTTTGGGGCCTGTTGGTATTTGGGTGGACAGTAAATCGCAGAATTGCAGGATAAACAGTGAAGTTAAAAAAAAAAAAACATCAGGAAGAAAGCAATGGCAAGACAAGCCACTTCTGTATTGTTGCCAATTGCATTCCATAAACATGCCCATGAAGTCCCAGAAGTCAAGCTCAACTTAAAGAAACCGTTACTTTTTAGCTTTATTTCAAACTGCCTTCTCCAATTTGGGCTGTCCCAGATATATCTGAATTTAATTTCCACAACTCCCAGGCATCACTGAGGAAGGCTGACCTTAAAAATGAACAAATTCACAATTGTGGATGTTGATGGTAAGCCAAAATCACATGCTTACTTCAATAGGTTTGATCTCAGACGTCTGGAAAGGTGAATGTGTTGAACTGCCTGAAATGTAACTTGTTCAAAAATGTAATATATTTATATCTGGGGTGGAAAGGTAATTCTTGATATGAACAGCAGACGGAAACACGGTGTCAAAGCTACTATTCCAAATCTTTCCTCTAGGCAAGCTACTAGAAGGGGGTGCAGGAATTCAACTGCAAGAAATACTGAACCTATTAGCTTCTAGCCATAACTAGCTAAGTAAGCAGCTTGGTTTTTTTAGTGTTCCTAAAATGACTTGTATGTCACATAACCTTAACCTGATATAAACAAATTCACACACAAAATATGCTTTTTGTTCAGTTATGCTCATGCACAGACACACACATTCTGATTCTGACTCCACTTTCATCCACATATAGCACCGGAATACATCGTGCTGGAATACATGGTCTGGTTGAATCATCTTTGCAGCATCAGTTCCTGTCTGTTGTCCTCAAGCACAATTAAGCCTGCTAGAAAATATCTGTTTCCCTCCCATATTTCCCCTCAGTCTGGTCCATCCCTTCTCCTCCATGACATCCTTATAGATGGGTGTAACTGACCTTGGCATTGGTGTAACCGACCTTGGCAATCCCTCCTCCTTAGGGATTGGAGCTAATATGCTGGAGGTGTTCCTGGCCACTGTCCAATCAATTCCATTGCTAAGCTACTGCTAGATAGAGAAATGTTTGACCAAGCTCTCTTCCCACACACAAGAATAACTGCTGCATCGTTAGAGGTAGCCACAAGAAGATGCAGATCCTGATCCAAAGGGGCACTTGCAGCGTCATCTATCCTGCTATTTTACAACTGGCACTGCCACCAAATATTCTCCTTCATAGGGTTCTTCCACATGAAAGCTTTAAACTGATGGTCTCCCTTGCTGAAACTGTCTGGAAATTAAACCACTTTAAGAAATTATCATCTGGACTTCAATCTGTTCTTCAGCTTTGGCAACAAGTGTTCTGTCTGGACAGTGGTTATGACAGTGCCTGATGGACAGATTCCCATTTCTTTACTCCTCCCATCCCTTCTGGGAAAGCATATGGCTTCCATTGATTGACCTTTTATATGAAGCCCACTGACTCCTCCTCCTATTTGACACTATTCCATCTGGCATGTCCACCACTGGACTGGTGGGAACAAAAATACCAGAGTTTAACCATTATTTCTTTCACTTAACTGGAAAGGGAAACTGACAGAACTTTTGTCAATTTCACTTGGAGGAGGGAGGGAGGGAGGGAGGAAGGAAGGAGAGGTCCATCTTTGACTAGTCCCTATGAACCTATATTAAGAAAAAGACAAGCTGTGGAGATAGGAACCAGTGGACTGGTGCTTCAGAGTACCTCTTACTGGAGATATAGAAGGAACCCATGTAATGCCTGAGTCCTACCTTGCAAAGCATGGGAGTTCAGGCTTTATGTGGGCATGTTCCTCTCCTCAGACACTGACATCTCAAGAATGATCATGGAGGGCAATAACCAATGTGTGAAACCAAGTAAGAAGCTGAGGAGTTATTTCCTTTGGTGGACAATCATTAAAACAGTTCAACCCAGAGTTCTCACTTGAGACACAACTGACCAGGCTCAAATTATCCTACTTCAGACACATTATGTGGAGACCCAGCTCTCTGGAGAAGACCCTAATGCTGGGAAAGGTGGAAGGAATGAGAAGAAGAGGACGACCACCAGCAAGGTGGATGGACTCAGTTATGATGGCAATGAGCACACAAGACCTGAAAGACCAGTTTGAAGACAGATTTGTCCTGGACAAAATCTATGTGGTTGCTAAGAGTTGACAACAACCTGATGGCATGTAATCTATTATTAAAGCAGTTACTTCAAACATTGTGAGGAGCAACATTTGCTGCCACAAGGGAAAAGGCTCTTTAAGTAATGGCAAATAGCTAAAATCAGAATCCCCTCCCCTTGGAAATTATAACTGATATCAGCATGGCTACCTTTTAGGATAGAAGAAAAGAGAAGAGGATGACCAGCAGCAAGGTGGATGGACTCGGTTACAGTGGTGGTGGGAGCACTATTGGAAAACCTGAAGGACCAGGTTAGGGACTGATCGTCATGGAGAAAATCTATCTATGTGATTGTTGACACCAACTTGATGGCACATAATTAAACACGTTTTAGGAGCCCATTCACACTGGATGCAAGTGCTTCTAGGTATTTCCTAGGAATAGCACTTTCAAATGTTGTGTAACTATTCCATCTCCTCCTGGACAGAGGGAGTGGAAAACCCAGGATGTTATATATGGAACCTCTCTTTGGACCACTTGTAACATTACACAATAAAAGCCTCAGAAATATTTCAGCCACCTCCCTAAGTGTTCAACTTTCTTTGCTTAAAAATGCCAACATCTGCAGACAAGATTTGGGCTACTTGCTCAAAAAAGTTACCCAACTAAATAATTCTAGACACAGTGGTTGTACTCACAGGTCACACTGGTCACAAACCACAAACTGACTACGTTTTGTGGAGTCCTTGGGGTTCCCTGAGCTTGGTTCTTTTCTTGCAAACATTTCATTACTCGGCTAGGTAACATCTTCAGATAATGAAACGTTTGTAAGAAAAGAACCAAGCTCAGAGAACCCCAAGGACTCCACAGTTGAACCCTGAGCTACACAT